AGAGACGGGGTTTCACCATGTTGACCAGGATGGTCTCGATCTCTTGACCTCGTGATCCACCCGCCTCGGCCTCCCAAAGTGCTGGGATTACAGGCGTGAGCCACCGCGCCCAGCCCAGAGGTGACATCTTATACAGCTACAGTACAGTATCAAAACCACAGCAGTGGTTTTGGTACATTATTGTTAACCACAAGCCTTGTTAAACTGTCACCATTTAAAAAAACTGAATTCATTTCTGTAAATGTATAGTTCTATGTATTATCTCATGTATACATTTATGCAATCACCTATCACCAAACTTAAGATACAGAATTATTCCATCATCACATAACAACCCCCTTATGTTACCTTTTATATTTGTATCCACCTCCTAACTACCCTGTTTCTTGACAAGTACTAATATGTTCTCCATCTCTAGCTTTGTTATATGAATTGAATCAGACAGGATGTGACCTTTTGAGACTGACTTTCTTCATCAAGCAAAATACTCAAGACCACCCAGATCTACTGTGTATATCAATAGTCTACTCTTTTCTTATTGCTGGGTGATCAGTATTTTTAAACTGTAGAAGAGTAAAATAATTCTGAGTATCAATCAAAGTTTATAAAGAGTTCACTTAATGTTTGGTGAATTTAATGCCTATTTGTGAATTAAACTGACATATCCAAAAATAACTTCCAAGATATTCACTCAAGCAAGAGCACAGTATCAGACATAAATGTCTGATTTTTAAAATGACAGAATTGGAAGAAGAAAAAAAAAAAATGAAATGACCGAATTCAATGAAGAAACTCATGTGACTTACCCCATCCAGGTGGCAATGGACCAAGAGGATCAAATTCTTTATTTTGTGATGTAGCAAATAAATCTTGATTCTAAAAGGAACCAAAAAGTGATGAAACTATTAATAACTTAACAAATTATCTGACAGCAAGCTTGTAAGTTCTGATTTCCCTTCCCTGGCCATGTATAACATAGAAAGTTTGCATATTAAAGAATTGTCACATGGTTATGGATAAATGCCAATATACTTTAGTTTTTTAAAAACATGTGCAAACATTATCTAACATTTAAAATTATTTAAAATTAAAATATGACACAAATATGTAATCCTCATCCCCAGAATGACCATTTTTTCATTTGTGCTACAAATTTTACATCAATAATATAAAAATTAGAAAAACATATAAACCCCCTCAAAAGTCATTTATAATACTAGTACCCAGAGTCGTCAGATGACTGAGAAAAATCTTGCATACGTAACTCAAAAACAGAACATCAAATACAGGACATGTAATATACAAAGAATTATGAGAAGAGAGTTGGGGGAGCAGGAAGATCAAGCTGCCAGATGAGTGAAAGGATAGGATTCCAGCTGGAAAGTGTTAATGAGCCTAGAACTGTATGGAAGATTTCTTAAAAGTTTCTAATTATCACATTGGTGAAGAGAAAGATTTGGCTAGATAAAAGCAAAGTAAGAGTTAACCTTTGGAAAAAGAGAACAAAAGTCATACTGACTCGGTGTAGGGACATTAAGTGTATATATAATCAAGTAGAGATAATTATGTGGTCACCCAGTATGACTTGGTTAAACCCTTTCTTCTTTAGTAAAATAAACAAGAGTCTAATTGCATTAAAAATAATTATACTATGGGGAAGAAAAAAACAACTAAAATAGTCCAATGAATCCCATATACCCAGCACCAGGATTCAACCCGTATTAAGACTTAGCCAAATTTCTTTATCTCTTTCCTCCTGTTCTTTGTTAAAGTGAAAATCAAACATTATTTCACTCCTACATATTTTAGTACGCCTCTCTAAAATCTCTGGACATTTTCTTACATAATCACAATCTCATTATCACATGTAGTAAAGAATCAATGTTAATTTTATCATCTAATACCTAATCTGTAATTAAATGCATGACTGTTAAAATCAGGATCCAAAAAAAGTCCTCACGTTACATTAGTCTCAATATAGAGCAGCTCCCCTGCTATCTCTTTTTGTTTCTTTACCCCCGAAACCCCGTGTCACTGGCCTATTACAGAAACCTGGTTGATTGATGAGGTTTTAAAGGACATGAGATATATTACACTTCTGATAAAGTAACTCTTGGATTTAGTGCTGTTGAGAACTGCCTGGCTCCTCCTGATAGACACAATTATGAAAAAAATGTGAGAATAGGGAGGCCTGCCAGAAACACTACAAAAGTCTGAGTCCAAGTTACAGACAAGGTCTGAAAAGTTTGGCACATGACATACTGTACTGACCATTTTAAGACTGAAGTCTACCCCGCTGGCTTTCCCTGGACAGATAAAACTGGGGACATGCACAATTACGCCATGGGCCAGGAAGAGCCATTACCCAGTGTTTTATCATCAACCATATCCATCCTGAGACTTAAAATGCTGGGTGTATGACAGCTTCTGCATGCTAGTAAGAACAACAATGGTAGACAAAGGCCACTTCATATATCCAATAAACAAGACTATTTCTCAACAACACCCCATCATTTTTAAAGTAAATGTTATTAAGGATGTTAAATTCATTCACTTTAGCTTACATCTTTGTCTATGTTAACTAAAATAGGCTGTTTAAATTCTATGTAATTTCAAACCACTCTACAACAAGCACAAAGAGTAAAAATTTCAGAAAAGTGATCAAATTTTATTGGATTGGGGGGCGGGGAGGGAAGCATGATGATGAAGGAGAAGCTGTACTTAAAAAAAAAAAAAAAAATTCCAAAGACTCTGAGTACTAAATCGATCAGATTTATAATAGTCAATACATACAGTACATGCTCCAGAAATCTGCTAAATCTGTCTTTTAAAGGAATGTTTTGAAAGACTGTGTAATGCAAAAATGAGATAAAGGGTACATATACAGAGATGAATATGAAGGAGAAGAGATGGGAACTAACATTTCTAAGCATTCAGTATGTGCCAACTATATTGGAACTTTATTAAAGAATCCTCAGAAAAACTCTGAGGCAGTTTTATATCTACATTTATTTTACAGATAAAGGAAATGAGTCTTGATGAGGTTAAGTAACTTACTCAAAGTCATATAGAGAAAGTAACTGTGGAACCAGGATTCGAACCCAGATGTGTCTGACTCCAAAGCCCATGCTCTTTCCACTGGACACCCATGTGGAAACTAGTTTTAAAGAAGGCAGGCAAGCTAGGCATTCAAACCTAGAAGAAATTTGGCCAGGCATACCACAGGTGATTATAATTTAGATAGGAAGGAAGATGTAAAACAGCATAGGAAAAAAAAAAATGAAAAGAAGGGTAAGGCAGACAGGAGACAAAATTAATTTCACCTTTAAAACCACTGGGAAGGAAAATATAGTAACATCTGTTTAGAGACAGTGACAGGAAAAATTGTTATATGAAAGAAAAGCACCTTAGTCATAATCAGGGAAACAAGGGAAGGCTGCTGATAAAGGTGAATTTGTCTACATCAGTGAGTGCTAACTATTATGATGATGAGGTATCAGGAATAGACAGGAATATGGAGAAAAGGGATAAAATTATGCCTGGTGAGGACAGGAATATGAAAGGTGCAGTTTTACTCTGATAAATTCTAACAAGGATGATACCAATGGCAGTGGGGGGCGGGGGAGGGATGGTGATGGAGGGGGCGTTTTCTCATGAGCTCTTAAAGATTTTGTTTTCTTCTGTTTAGGTTCTATATAACAAATCCATCTCGTTTGGCACAGAGAATCAAATTTCTCAACGGATTATTTTCCTTTCCCTCCACAGAAAAGATCAATGATACTGTATGACTTGAGAGATTATAAAATTCCTAGCAGCAAAGACTGCATAGAAAAGGAGGCATTAATATATTTTGGTGTACTTACACTATTACTGCAATATTGCTCTACAGGAAAATACGTAAAATTTAAACCATTTGTTTCCAGAAGGGAAATGATTTTACATCAAAGAAAATATAGGTATGAAGCCAGAATAATATAGTAAGCATACTCCTATAAAGCATCAAATTTCTTCAGTCTCCCAGGGCACCAAATAATTTAATAGGTAAGCCTTACCTCCAAATGGTAAAAAGTGGTTAAATTCTATCAGTTCTGTACAACCACTTTAGGGTCAGATGCTCTCAGACCCAAGTCTTCAAATGTTTTGGCAAGTCAAGGCAGTAGTAAATTTAAAAATGTTTTAATTATTTTCAAACTGCTTGGGTTTATTTTTACTATTCTTTTGTTCATGAATTTTAAGTTGTCTAACTTCTTTTTTGCTTATTTTTAACATTTAAAAAAAAAGGAAATTGGACTTAAGCGAACTACAAAAGGGAAAAAATAGATCACACACAGAATACCCCAGACAAGGTCTAAAAATAATACCTACTAACAGCAACAACTGGTTTGCCATGCTACTTGCACCTTCTTTTTAGTGCTTTACATGACATATGCTGAAAAAAGCTAGAAACAAAATACTTTTATTAGTTTATTAAACAATAGGCTGCTCACCCCATAAATGAATCTCTGGTTAAACTGCTGCATTGCTCCTTGAAGCTGACTACGTTGTAGCTGCCATTGTTCATAGTTCCGGACAGATTCCAGTGTTGGTCTCTGCCATGTTGTTGTTCTTGTGAAATGGTCAACATAATAAATACGTCCCATGTTGTCAACCCGCCGTTCCCAGCTACATCAGCAAAAAAACAACAAGCTAATTCAACAAATACTTGTGAAACAGATACAAGATTTTACCTTGAGAAACTACTTTTCATTTATCTGGGATCTTTTATGTATTTTTAAATAGTTTGTAAGTGAACTTAAGATAAATGTTTCTAAAAATTTGTTTCTTGAAAGTTCATAAGATGCATTAGTCAGGTTCTTAAAATGCAATACATATTCAGTGAGTAAGTCTCAAATAGTCATTAAGTTTTGAGTTTCTTTTCAATGTTCTTTTTACTGTTTCAATCATAATAGGGATACAAATTGTATATATAGCTTTGGACAGGTATCAAAAAGCACTTTTTGGTCAGGTGGGGTGGGTCACGCCTGTGATCCCAGCACTTTGGAAGGCCAAATCAGGTGGATCACTTGAGGTCAGGAGTTCGAGACGAGCCTGGTCAACATGGTGAA